CAGTCATTTTGACTGCAAGAGACGAGAAGAAGGGACTCCAAGCTGTGGAGAAATTGAAAGACTGCGGTCTCTCTGATAACATAGTTTTTCATACGCTTGATGTCACTGATCAAACTAGTATTTCTTCTCTTGCAGATTTTGTCCAAAACCAATTTGGAAAGCTTGACATCTTGGTAATATATGTATATATATTATTTTATATACTAAATATATTATTGGTTTTTTTTTTATTTTTTTAAATGGTAGATTAGACTTTCATCATTCAGCTTCTATAATTTATCTTTTTTTGTTTTTTTCTAGGAAAGTTAGCGTCTTTTAAAAAATTAGTCAGAGAGATTGATCACTAGTAATAGAACCAAATAAAAATAGAGAAAAAAGTTGTAATTTATTTTATTTTTAAATAAATAAGTAATATAACTATTTTAAAATATATATTTTGATATGAGATTTCTCCTACATTCAGAAAGATTTGGTGGATTATCTCATTTGTGAACACATACGAAATTGCGGAAATGACCCAAATGAGATGTCATTGAACTTGTAGGTGAATAATGCAGGGATTGCCGGAGCCCTGATCGATGGTGAAACTCTAAGAGCTGCAGGACTTGGTAAGGTGCGTAGTCATCATCTATATACATATATATGTAAGTGTTTATGATATGAATATATCTAATAGAGGGGATCTTTGTTGGATCTAAAAGTAATTTATGTTAAATGGAAAATATATGTATGCATATATGCTGAGTGTTTTGATGAAATATTTACAATTGCCATTTGCTAAATGCAAATGCTTATATATATATATATATATATTCTGATTGTTGCAGGAATGGTCAGAAATTAATTTTGAAGAAGTAATTATTGATTACACTTACGAATTAGCGGAAGAATGTATTCAAACAAACTATTATGGTGCGAAGAGAATGTGTGAAGCATTTATTCCTCTACTTGAATTATCAAATTCACCCAGAATTGTTAATGTTTCTTCAATGATGGGCAAGTTACAGGTAAAACACTTTCTTCAACCCTTTCTCTATATATCTTTCATGTAAAACACTTTCTTCAATCCTTTCTCTACATATCTTTCACGTAAAACACTTTCTTCAACTGTTTCTCATATATTTCTTTCATGATCCTACTCAACCCTAGCTATATATATAAGCTCTTTAATAAATTATATATATATATATATATATATGATTAACTAATTCATGCTTAGATGCTTAATATTTTTAATATGCAAAGTTACTTTTTTCTTTATAGAAAGTAGGCAATAATTTTTGGTAGTTTTCTTTTTGGTTGATAATGTCATTGCAGAACGTGTCAAATGAATGGGCAAAAGAAATGCTAAATGATGCAGAAAATCTTACCGAAGAAAAAATTGACCAAGTATTGAATGAGTATTTAAAAGATTTCAAAGAAGGATCATTAAAATCCAAAGGTTGGCCTTCTTTTATTGGTTCATATACAATGTCAAAAGTAGCTATGAATGCGCATACGAGAATTCAATCAAAAAAATATCATTCCTTTCGCATCAACGCTGTATGTCCTGGATTTGTTAGGACAGATATTGTCTATAATATCGGCATGTTATCTCCAGAAGAAGGTGCTGAAAGTCCTGTAAGATTGGCATTGTTACCCAATGATGGTCCTTCTGGTCTTTTTTTCAATTGCAAAGAAGAGACACCATTTTGATTAATCAATAATTAAATAAAGTATTTCATAGAAAATGAA